TGCTTGACACAATGGATGCATATATGGATTATGATAAGAGTTGTACGAGCCCCCAATAAAATGATTTAAATTTTTAAAAAGTCGAAGAAAGATGTAAACAAAGGTATGTCATCATGTGACTTCATAAGTGCCAATAAAAGGTAAGGAAGACTTGAGACCTAATGTCACCACGGGCAGAATCTGAGAAAGTGCTTATGCCGATGACATTTCCATGGGTTGACTTGTACCTTTGACTTTGACAAAATAGACAAAGCCTATGTATTAAAACAAAAAGGCAATTGATCAAAGGACACCTAAGGTCTAAAAAGAATAGCTATTTTCATAACATTTAAAGAGCAAAGGCAAACAATTCAAGCTTCCTTAAAGAACATTCTTTAAAATAACATTCCATGATCACCCCACAGATTAAAATACATAAGGAAGAAAATGTGCTTCATACAGCTATCCAACTAGAGCATTTGCAGCCTGGCCTAACGTGACGTGGTGAGATCGAGATGCTTCTCATGCTGGAAATCTCATGAATTTTTATCATGAAGAAAATAACAATGACCAGAACATGAGATGGTCCACGGGATTCTTCAAAGGATGCACTATAATTAAGAGAAGAGGGCGTTGATAGGATTGTTCTAGACTGGAAAACGACAGGCCCACAAGGGCAATGCTTGAACCTTGACTGGACCTTGGGACAAAGAAAAGGAGGTATAAAGAATATTTGGGGGACATTAAGGGAAATTTAAGTTATGGATGGCATAATACTGAATTATTGTTACTGAATGATTGTCGATTTCTCAGTTACAATAACGGTTTGTGCAAGAAATTGTCCTCATATTTAGGAAATGCATGCCGAGGTCATTACAAGTGTCATGGTACCTGAAAATTATTTTTAGATAAGTTGGCAAGACTGTGTGTGCGTTGGCGGGGTGGGGGTGGGGTTAGATAGTGACAAGTGGTGAATTTAAATACATATGGGTGCTAATGGTAGTCTCTGGACTTTGCTGTGGGTTTAAAAATTCCAAAATAAGAACTAAGACTTCTAAACACCAGAATTCCTCTTTACAACTCAGAGCACCTGGCAGAAAGCTAAATGAGCCACCGGGAAGAGCCCAGCCAGTCCTCGGCTTCACATACCTACCTTCCACATCATACCAGTGTGCTCCATTGGTGATCCCATCTTTGAAAGTCTCGTCTTCGTCGCCCGGACAGTGAGGCGCACCCGTTCGCATGATGGGGTGGTTGGAAGCATACGCTTTCGCCAGATATCTAAAGACTTCGTCGTCTGAGGTTTTGCTGTAGATCCCAGTGGCCGTATGTTCCGGCGAATCATCGAAAGGGTAGCTTGCCACCACGGAGCCTCCGTGGAGATTCCCAGAGAGCACAAACCTTTGAAAATAGACAAAATCATACATCAGTAAAAAAAAAAGTCACACTCTTTCATTAGCGACCTAATCCCTCTCTTGGGAGACCTAGAAGGCCATTGTACCAGCTGTTAGACGTAGACCATCAGCACCACCGACCGAAATCGAAACTCGTCAGGAAGAAAGAATTTCAGTTTGATAATGTGAGCCAAACAGTTTTTACTATTCAAGTTGCCCTTAAGTAACTTGGAAGAATTTTCTCATTGTTGACAAAGCAGCTGAATAAACCCTAGGAGGGGGCTTCAAAAAGTTCCTGGGAAAATTCCATTATCTTTTAATTCCATGTTTCCAAAATTTACATGAAGCCCCCTCATGTAAATTAATGTTTTAGGACACATCTTATTAGGCGAACAATCTAATATGAATTTGCCAACATTTAATCTACAAAAATGATATTTTCCTATCGATCAACCTAATATTTCATAATGCTTCAATTTTATAGAAGACATGGCTGATAAACATTCATCGAATACATGAGATAGGTTAGTACCTTTTACTGTAAGTGTACTTACAGTGCAAAGGAAAATTTAAATATAGGAAGCCAAATTTAAAGCAGGACGTATTTTGCCTCACAGTATCGTAAAAACACATTTTTAAAGGAGAAGCCACAGTGGAAAAGATTCAAGGAGGGGCAAGGGGGAACCT